CACACTGATGGACCTTGTGAGAGTTTTAGTATTCACAGTTCAAGGGAGGAAGGTTTAGTTCCATGATTCTATCATTCTAACAAATAATAATCATTTTCATCTATTGGTCTACCTCCTATTGACTCTTTCTTTGTTTTTGCATGTGTCCATCTGATACTTAACTCACTTTTTTTTTCATTCTTCCTTAAAAATGTGAATTTTAATGTCTGAGTTTGGACTTTCTGTTTAAAATTATTCTGTGTCATTCTGGATTCAAAATCGCTTTCTTTCAACCTTAGGAAGGAGACAAGGGCAAGCTACTTCCAATGTAACTTACCAAGAACTTGATGTCAAAAACTATAGATAATTGTTTCCCATATTTTTGATAAACATTTACTCCCTGATAATGAACAAAAGATGGGCTGTTTCATCCTTTTATACCATGGGCGTCAAACTCACGGCATCACATTACTGTCACGTGACATTTTGCGATGTTTTTTCCCTTCATGGAACTGGGATGGGCGTGGCCTCCACGTGATGCATCCGTCTGCAAGGCCGCCAGCTTGACCCCCCTGCGCTTATACCATTGATAATGGTAAGGTTATACTGAGTGTGGCCAGAACTAAAGTGCAGAAATATATCTGTATTTCTCCTAAAACAGATTCTGAGTTGCTAACCTTGCTTTTCTACACAATAGGGAGGATCTACATGATTCAATGCTTCTTGTGTTTGTTAATAACTCCCTTTTTAATGTTAATGGTCCTATATTGATAAGTTTGATATTAGAAGTAGTACCCTGAATTTTCAATAGGAGCAAGGAGAGTTGGTTGAATTAATTAGATGCAGTGTAGAAGGACTGAGTGCTAGGCAGAATAGGAAGGTGTGAACTTAAGTTCTCAATAAGAAAATTCCTTCTGGCTTAATTTCTTTGAATTAAAGGAAGCATATTTAATCTGCAGAATAATTATGTTTACTCTGACTTTAATTTATTAATACGGAATGTATTTAAAATATAATTCCTTTTTGGTTTGGGGAGAAAAATGCAAAATTGCTCCAGCATTCAGACAGAATACTTATACAATTGAAATAGATCTTTGCTTGCTTCACGTGCCATTAAAATCTCATGGTGAGATCGGATCATCTAAAATGCTTTAAGTTAGAACCAGAGGGAGGATTGCATTTAGTGGTTTCTTTCTCTTCACCGAAGGTTTTCAAACAGAAGCTGCCTAGGCATTTATCAGGGATGGTGAAGTGAATCCTACACTGTGTAGGGGGTTGATGACATCTTAGTTCTCTTCCAACTCTATGATGATCCGATGGAAAAGAAGTGCTAAATGGTTAGCTAAGGAGTATTTGGCCTGAAACATCAAAACTATCTATGGAGATTATCAAGCATCCAAGTCATGGTTGTCCCGAAGTGGTTTTCAAAAGATAAACGGACTTTCTCTCTCTCTCTCTCTCTCTCTGTGTGTGTGTGTGTGTGTGTGTGTGTGTCTGTTGTTTTGTTTTTGAAAATATTTTGTCAGAATATTCATGAACTGGCAGAGGCATGGTAACAAGGTCAGCCAATGAATAGGCATAGCAACTAAGTCAGCCAATGAGGACTGTTTGGAAACTGAAACTGGAAGGAGCCTGGGCTTGGCTCTGTATTAAGCTATGAGCTCTGAAACTGCAGACTTGTCTGCTCTGAACTCAAAACTGAAACTGCTCTCTCCTCTGCTCATGTTTGGCTGTAACTGCTACCACGTTGGAAGAATCTGCTGTTGGTATTGTAAATTTACTTCATGTGTTATTATGCATATAAAGAAGTTAATAAATGCTGCTGAATCAGTTATCTGTATGTGGATCTGATTTTTGCAACAAACTCTGACATGTTTCGTTTCTCAGCAAAACAAAATGTTTTCAAGAAAACATTTAAGAAGCTTCTTGGATGAGAAGTGAAATGTTTTCAGAAAAAAAAATGCAGTCTGGTTGCCTTTTGAAAAGCACCTTTGGGACAAACATCAACACTGTTTTCAAGTCTCTCAAGTGTTAATGTAGTATTGTACAAGGATTCTGTCTGAAGTAGTTCTAATAATAGTGTGGTCGCCAAGTATGCAGTGAACTAAGAAGGGAAGGTATTTTATGTAAAGGAGATTGAAGACAAGTGTATTTGCATTGTTTCTACAGAAATGTTGTAAATTGGAATTCATTATGAATTTCAGGGAAGGGAAGAGAGTTATTTGGCAAGATGATAATTTACAAGACCAAATATTGAAGGAGAACAGCAGGGAAGCTTACATATAATAAGCCTCAGACTTTAAGATTGGATTACAAGATTTTCCAAGCTGTCAGCATAGATGTGGGAATAAGGGTAAGAAATGAAAGAAGAATATGCTATATGCAGGAGAGAGAGAGGCTCTGGGCATCTGTGTTTTTCGGAGCGTGGGAACCTTTAATTAAAACATGTGATTGCTGCTACTTCAGCGAGACTTGACATGTGACCATAGTATCCAAATTAATTTTTACAGTTCTCGATTATCCATAGCAGAATCCTGTTCCCTAAATTGGCCAATTGCAGTTTTGTAAAATATCCTGGCTGGGAGTTGTTTTTCTCATACAGCATTTAATTCACCATTTACTGCTGTGTTTCTTGCCTACTTGTGCTTTCTTATGAATGTGGCTCTCATATTACAGAGAAAAATTAGACCAGACTTCCATCGAGAAAAAGGAATGGCAGCTGGCGTGGGGAATTCTGTGACCTCCACAACCATCTTAGCACATGTATATGCTCCCTTAAAGCCTGTGTAAAGTCTACATTAAAATATGTCAGTTTCCTGCTACATAATGTGGCTCAAATGGAAATGAGGTTGTTATATTATCATCAAGAGGTTTATTCATTAACCTTCCAAAAGAAGGTCTGAACTCCATGGTTCTGTTCTTGCATATTAATAAAAGAAAGCTAATATAGAAGCCAGTTTGGTGTAGTGCTTAAAGCAACGGGTTAGAAACTGGGAGCCTCTGAGTTCTAGCCCTGACTTAGGCAAAAGCCAGCTGGGTGACCTTGGGCTGCAGGTAGTCCTCAACTTATGTCCGTTTGTTTAATGACATTTCCCGGTTTTGAGCGCCCCAGAGAAGTGACTTACCACCCATCATCAAAGTTACAACCATCATAGCATTCCAGTGGTCATGTGATTTCAACTTGGATGCTTGTTAATCAGCTCCCTTGTATGATGGTCACATGATTGCAGCTTGCGAACTTCCCAGTAGGCTTCCAACAAGCAAAGTTAATTGGGCAAAGTGGATTTGTGATTAACGCCCTCTGTAAAAATAGTCATAACATCAGATCCAGTCACATGAAGGTTCATTTAGTGACTGCCCTGATTAGTGAAGTGAAAATCTAGTCCCAGTTGTGGCTATATATTTTCAACAACACCTGTAGTCAGTTTCTCTCAGCCCTAGGAAGGAGGCAATGGAAAACCACTTCAGAAAACCCTTGCCAAGAAAACTGCAGGACATTCTCTGAGAACTGGACGTGATTGAATAGTAGAAGAAAATATATAGAGGTCAAAAACTCAGCCCCAACATCCCAAATTTACGTATTACCTCTGCCATAGGCTTACCCAATTGAGACAATAATACTGTACAAATCTCCTTTATGGTTTTGTTGTAAGGGTATAAAATAGTATTTAAAACAGGTACTCCTCAACTTCTAGAAGGGGAGGAGAACATGCTAGCAAATGCCACTGTTTTGAAAGGCTGGGGATGCTGGTGGGTGAGGGGAAAATTCTGACATTTGCTAATGTTTTGAGCCCTCCAAAACAATAGCATTCACCAATGTTTTGCCAGAATTGAGGTCTGCCCCTCAATACACTGAAGGAGTGAAGCAGAAAAAACGATTACTACCAACCTGCCTTGAATCGAGGACCTATATACTGTACAAGTCAAAAAGAGGGCTGTGAAAATATTTATAGACCCCTCACATCCCGGACATAAAACTGTTTCAACTCCTTCCCTCAAAATGACGCTATAGAGCACTGCACACCAGAACAACTAGACACCAGAACAGTTTTTTCCCGAATGCCATCACTCTGCTAAACAAATAATTCCCTCAACACTGTTCAACTATTACAAAGTCTGCATTACTATTACTATTAATCTTCTCATCACTCCTTATTGCCCATCCCCTCCCACTTGTGACTGTATGACTGTAACTTTATTGCTTGTATCCTTACGATTTATATTGACTGTTTCCTAGTATGATTTGATTGCTTATTGTACCCCATGACTATTATTAAGTGTGGTACCTGATGAATCTTAACTCTTGATGAATGTATCTTTTCTTTTATGTACACTGAAAGCATTTGCACCAAGACAAATTCCTTGTGTGTCCAATCACACTTGGCCAATAAAGAATTCTTTCTGTCTGTTTATCTGTCTGTCTGTTTGAAAATGCTAGCAAACACCTAGGTTATTGTGAATGCTCTTTTTGGTCGGGCAAGGAGAGGACCTGAACAACTGGTTGTGTTGGGAGGCCTGAGCCTTCTCTCTGCCAACCACATCATGGAGACCTAGGACCTCTTCTTGACATTCTGGTGAATGATGTCCACGGTTGCTTAATAACTGCAACTGGGAGAACAGAGATTGTGGGTGTTGAGTGGTTGTGTGGCATTTCACTTAACGGCCGTTCCATCGGTGACTGAGATTCTGGGCCCAATTGTGATTATAGGTGGAGGATTAGCTGTATGTCCAAAACATGATATAAAGGTATGATGATATTGTTAGTAATGGGATCGTACTTCTTGTTATTCATTCTTGTTCGATTCTCTCTGCTAACACAATGCCATTCGCCATGCTTTCTACCCCATGCTGTTTCGCACATGTCCATAAGCCTGTCCATTTCTGCTTGTTTGTTACACCTTTCCACCAACCTTGATTGTTTTCCTATGGGAAGATTTAACCCTCCAAAGAGAACCTTGAAGAGAAGTTTCTCTGGATGAATGTAAATGGAATCTCTTTTCTTTCTTTTTTTTTCTGTTTAGGAATGGTCAGAAGAAATCTTCAGTCTGGCCACAAACCTGTTGGCACAGAACATGTCCAGGGATGCTTTTCTGGAAAAAGCGTAAGTACAAAAATCCTTATTGTATGGGAAGTTGCTTCAGTTTCTTATGTGTCAGCTTCCCTTTTTTTTTTTTTTTGAAAGAATTATCGCTACCAATTGTTTTCATGATGATGGATTACTGCCTCTCTAAACATGCTTTTTCCTCTTTTCTCATTGAGACGGCAAACTGAACGTCTTTTTAGAAACAGGACTAAGAAGCTCAGCCATGATGACTCAGAAAGGTGTAGTCTGAGTTTTTGTTTGCACCATCCTAATATTTAACGTAGTACACTTCCTTTTCTGGGAATGAATATACAAAGGGAGTCACAATAGCAGATAGTGTGCTAAGCTACTCTAATTCATGTTCGTGGCCCATATATATCGTTCATAAACGGGATATTCCTGATTGTGAAGCATTTGGATGCAGAAGCATACAATTTTGACACGTAGCTTATGCGTGAGAAGGGGAAATTTTTTCACCCTTATTTATGGTTACGTGCAGAAAGCACTATTATTCAGGAAGAATCTCTCTGGATACATTTGGCACTTCACGAGTAGAGAAGGAAGTCTGCAACATCTTGAGAAGTCTCTTGAGAACCTTGAGAAATGTTCTGTTAAAAGTTAGAGTAGGAACCCGAAATTAAGTTCTTTAAACAGTTGGCTTGGATCCTTCATCAGTAGGGTTTCGTAAGACACCGAGTCTGTTCTGTTTTTTAGCAGTAGATTCACAATCAGGCAATTTCTCCAGATTTGACTGGGAGCAGATGGATATTGCACTTACTTTATAATTTTTAGAAGAGAGCAGGAGGGTCTGGTCTTTTTATAAAAAAATGAAAATGAAAATCTTAACTGTTTAAAGTTATACACCACTCTGATAGAATATTGAGGGCCCTTTTTCAGCATGTCTTGGGATGAACATGCGACTACCAGTAGCTTTTTAAACCTAAAGAAGAAAGCTATAAAATACTTTTCACCATGGAACTATAGGAGCCATCTCCATCCTCCACTACCACCACCCAATGTTTTTCTCCAGAGTTTGATTCTGGCAGATGCCTGGATGGATCCAGCTTTGAATCCCAGTAGAATTCTGAATGAAATTCATTTGAATCTGCGCTTCAATGGATCTGCAGTGGTTAAAATATTTAGCATGCATTACCTTAAACCTGCCAGTCAACATAGCATGAATTATAGTGGCCAGTCCTAAAAGTTATGGACTGGTTAGTTGAAAATGACAGATCTGGAATTCTGATACTGCTGCTTAAGGTTATAAGCAATATGTGACAGGCTTATCTCCTTATGCTGTGCTATCTTTTATTAGCTGTACAATAAAGGGCTACAAGATTTCTACCTCCCTTTGCCCACAGAAGCAAATAACTGTAAATCTGTTCCTGTGAAGTCTGTAGGCACCATGTGTTGATCCAGAGGGCTTTGAAACAAAAGCACAAAGGGTGGTGTTGATGACAACATCCTGGGGCAAAAATAGTTTTTTTCAACTTAAGGGGGAAACGCCTAAATATACCCAAGTTTATCTACAGTCATGCAGATGACTGAATAAGAATAAACAGAGATATATTTAAACTACATGCTGCACACACAAGCATATGTAATGAAATCCTGGTGACATTTTAAAAGAAATGCTGATTTTCGGTAGAAAATGTAGCGCACAGAAAGGTGTGTTCTCTTTCACGATGCTTTTGGAGCCTAATGACTTCTGTAAAAGAATTCCCCAAGAATTAACAGCTCTTCAGTGTACCACACGCTCCAAATGGATATTTCCTGCTCTTTAGATGAGAAGTCCTTAACCCCCAGGCCACAGCCAACTACTGGACCATGGCCTATTTGGAACCGGGTCCCACGAGCATCTGTGCATAACTTAATTTGTGCGAGCAGCGGGCCAGCACATGTCCACGTCTACACACAACTCAAGTTGCACAAGTTGATCTGCATGTGCTTGTGCACTGGTCCACCGCTCACGCGATCCCTCTCCCCCCCCCCCGCCATCCAACAAAGGTTGGGGATGGCTGTTGTAGATGAATCCTTTTTGAAAAATCTACTGGATTAGAGTAATGCAAAGAATGAAATTGTTGATACTCAGATTTGGGTTCTACTGAAGAAGTACAGATGAACTGCTTTGCCAAGATTTCTTGAACTGCCTTATGAATTAACTGGGATGATGATGATGATGATGATGATGATGATGATGATGATGGAGGTCAATAATAGGAAGCTGCTCAAAGTGCAGCAAATCAAGAATCAATACAGGAAAACAGCAATGCAAACTCGGGCTGACAGCTGGTGTAACAAAGCACTGCATGGGCAGTTCCTTGAAAAGATCCAGGGAAAAGTAGATAAGGAAAAGACCTGGTTATGGCTGACCAACGGAACACTGAAGAAAGAAACAGAAAGCCTGATTCTTGCAGCCCAAGAACAAGCCATCAGAACGAATGCAATCAAAGCCAGAATAGAAGAATCTGCTGATGACTCCAAATGCAGACTCTGCAAAGAAGCGGACGAAACCATCAATCACATACTGAGCTGTTATGTCACAACACAGTCGCTCAGATGGTCCACTGGAACTTGTGTCACAACTACTATCTGCCTGTAGCAAAGAACTGGTGGGATCATAAGCCTGAAAAAGTGGTTGAAAATGAGCATGCAAAACTACTCTGGGACTTCCGAATACAGACTGACAAAATTTTGGAACACGATACCCTGGATATCACAATTGTGGAGAAGAAAAAAGTGTGGATCGTCGACATTGCCATACCTGGTGACAGCAGAATCAATGAGAAACAACTTGAAAAAATCACCAGATATCAGGACTTGAAAATCAAACTGCAGAGACTCTGGCATAAACCAGTGCAGTTGGTTCCAGTGGTACTCGGCACACTGGGCACTGTGCCTAAAGACCTAGGCAAGCACTTAAAAACAATTGGCGCTGACAAAATCACCATTGGCCAACTGCAGAAGGCCACCTTAGTGGGATCTGCTCGCATAATCTGCCAATACATCATGCAGTCCTAAATGCTTGGGAATGTTCAACTAGTGATTTGTGATACGAAACCCAGCATAGTTATCTCGTTTGCTGTGTACAATGTCATTTTTTGTGTATAATAATAATAATAATAATTTGGTTTTCTTTAAACCAAAATTATAAACATTACACTTGCAATTTAATAAGTTGCAATGGCTAACCTGCTTACATCGCAAGAGAATAGGTAAGGGTTAGGATTTTCCAATAAAAAAAGAAGGATTTGCTTGAAGATTAAGTGAATGTGGAGAAAAGGACAGTTGGAATATTTCAGCAGAAGGGTTTAATCCTGCCTACAGCTATTTTCATTTTCCTTTTTTTTCTCACTCCCAAGCCAGCTAGTAAAACTAGTGAAAAGCATTGGAAGCATAGTATTGCCTTTCTATTCCCATCATTTCTGCAACCCCTGACATCTTGATTCATTATGTGTAGGGTAGCTATTGTATATGATATACTCACGGATAAGCCGAGAATTTTAGATCCTCAAATACATCCCCAAAACTGGGTTCAGTTTATCCATAGATAGGCTTATCCACGAGTGTATACACTAATTAGCTTTTGTGAAACAATGTAGATTCATTTCTATTAAGTATTTTGGGGCAGTGGAGATGGCATCATTTAATCTGGGAAAGCAAAGAGGACATTTAATTTAATTGAAACAATCTGCAGGGCCTCAACCACTTCAGATCGGTGCTATGAGAAAAGGCTCTTATCCAGAGGTCTTCAAACATGACAGCTTTAAGACTTGTGGACTTCAACTCCCAGAATTCCTCCTCCAGTCATGTTAACTCAGGAATTCTGGGAGTTGAAGTCCACAAGTCTTAAACTTGCCAAGTTTGAAGACCTTTGCTCTTATCAATCCCCTCTTTCATTACTGGCCAAAGTGGCTTTCAAAATGGGTGACTTTGGAATTGCCTACAACATGTAGCAAAGTCAACCTGCCTACAACAACTTTGGCCAGTGTAGAGGGAGCTTCAGGCAGGGGCAGCTCTGTCATGGAATGTGGTACCCAGCCAAGAGGTCATTGTGGTAAGCACTGCAGACATATTTGCCTCCGACTGATTATTCAACCAATACTTACTAGGCAGTTTAGCTTCTGGATGCACTACATCCAGATCCAGCAGAATGGGCAGATCCCATCAGTCATAGAGTGTCGGCAGTGACTAGAACACAGGCTTATTCCACAGTGGTCCCTGCTCTTTGGAGATCAGAATAGTCCCCAACCCTGGTAGCCTTTCATAAGACCCTAAAAACCTGGCTATGTTCCCATGCCTGGAGTGCTGAATGTGTTAAGGACCCCGTTTCCTAGCTATATTTCTAACTGGCCAAGTTTTTCAAGTACTATGTATATTTATTTTGGCCATTTCTGTTGTTTATATTGCTTTAAAATGTTTTAGTATTTGATTGTAGTATGTATTTTTTTAATTATAAGCCCAGTCATTGACTGAGATGGATGGCTATAAAAATTGAATACATACATGAATACAATACATACCTAGCTAGAAGTCATCTGGCGACCATTAATAGGCCTGTTTCAGTGGCAGATTAAGGCTCAATGATTAAGGCTCAATGCCCTAAACACTGACAAATCTTGGTGCCCCCCTCCTTTTTTTTACAAATCTTTACTGGTTTTTTCTTCCTTTCTCAACTTTATGTTGCCCCCTTTGGGCCTGGTGCCCTAAGCACGTGCTTAGTCTGCTTAATGGTTAATACACCACTGCCCTGTTCTGTTTAAGTAAAGTATCCCTTCAAAACTTCACAGGGCCCTATGTAAATCACAGTTTATTTCCAATTAAGCAGTTGAACCTCTCCCTCTGTTTTTACCCTACATTCCTACTTATGAAAGAAAAATGACTTTCTCACATGGCTAAAGAGGGTCTAAAAGCCACCCTGATAAGTGAACTGACTGAATAGAAATGTCCCATTAGCAGCTTGAATGCAAGAATGTGGAACTCGCCTAAAAAAGGCCATCGCCCTTCTGTCCACTGCAAGATTCCCTGCACAATCTCTACATAGATGAGGTCTTCCAATTTCCCATATCAGTAACCTGTCTTTTTAATGAACAGATGTACAGATTTGTATTCTGTACAATACAGATGAAACTCAAATACTTTGGCTACCTAGTGAGAAGGAAGGAAGAGCCTAATGCTGGGAATGATTGAGGGCAATAGAAGAAGGGATGACAGAGAATGAAGTGGCTGGATGGAGTCAGTTTAAATGAAGCATTAGGTGAGTTTAAATGGACTCCAGAAGATGGTAGAGGACAGGAAGGCCCGGAGGAATGTTGTCCATGGGATCACAATGGGTCGGATACAACTTCATAGCTAACAACAACAATACAGAATTCATATACATATAATAGATACATGTAAGAATAGTGTAAAATAAACCAGTTTGAACAAAATTCTTTTTGTTTTAAGTCATTGGGGCGGGGGGCTCAATTATTTCCTGAGGAGGTGCACTTGGAAATGTAATTACAGGTAAAGATCATTTTCTTGATGTTTAGATGCGTTAAGTTTTGCTTGAAAACCGTTTTGGTGAGGTTATAATTTTCTTCAATAGAACAAAGTACAAGGTTGCTTTATGGTCAGCAATAGATAGAGCAAGTTGCAATATGGTGGTTGCAATTATTTCTCACCAGCACATTATTTTGTTCCTTAGATACACAAAACTTAAATTGCAAGTCACGACAGATGGGCGTATCCCTTTGAAGAAGTAAGTTGGGTTCCATTGTGACTGTTTGGATGGTTGGAAGCTTTAAAATACCATTGCATGTCTTGCCATATTGTGAAACTGACTTTCTAGGCACCATTTAAAAATAGAAGCATGCCGTGAAATTTCGTCATTGGCTGGTGCTCTTCAACGGTATGATGGTCAAGCTGTGTCCGGATTATACAATTTCAGGTTGTAAATAGGGGCGGGGGGTGTCTTTGGTTGTTTTATCATGCAAAAGAACTCACTTTCCCTTTCTGCAAACCACATGCAGACATGCCAAGATAGTTAGCAATGCATGTGACAAAGAAGGCGCAACTGAAAACTTTCGTTCTGTCAAAGAAACATAAGTACATAAGAGCATTCAATTGTATGAAGCCTCCCATGGATTATGCATACGTTGAACCAGAATAATTGCTGTGAGGGATCAAAATAAGTGGCAAGATGTCAGACTGAAGAGACATGTTTCTCATATAGCTAGTCTGAAATGCAATATTAATTAGCCCACTACCCCTAAGTGCAACTGAATACATTATGACATAACCAATGTTGACGTATGGTCAACTACTTGTTGATTGATGTTCCCTATGTGGAATAGAAGGAATGGGGAGAATTAATCCTTTACTTTAGGCAACATAATGTCTCTGGCAACTCATACAGGTTATCCAATTGTAACGTGGGAGGGTACAGCTCAGGATTAAATTAACCACCACAGTGGGAACAAAAATTTTGTTTAGAAAAGACCATGGTTGGAGGTGCATAAAAATAAAGTTGAAGAATGAGTCAGATTTATTTCATACAGATTGGATGTGCAAGGCCTTTCAGTTCATTTGGTAATGGCAGCCCAGTAGTTTCCTAGATTAGTATTTTGGTGGCAGATATGAATGTGAAAGCACTGTGTAGGTCCTAGATTGATATCAGCCATTTTAGCCCGAAGGGTAGGGATGGAAATCAGGTATTTGCTGAACCCAAGATTCTATCAACATGGGTTGAAAGTGAGTGATGGCAGGAGCTGTGCTTCATAAATATCAGCTGAATCTCCAACCCAGTTATAGAATATTATTTGAGCTTGTTTGGGAAGGGAATGTGCACAACGATACATGCCAAACTGAAAGGACAAGAATTAACTCTTAGCAAATTCAGTCTAACAGGATCATCCACGCATCTACCTACATCCAAATTATATCTTACTAATACATAAAACTCAGTTTGAAAAATTGTGCATCTTAAGCTTCAGAGACTTAACATTGCTTGTGTCACCTTGTCCAAAATAATGCAGAGTAACTGATTTTTCTATAATGTCTGGATTGGTTCTAAAGTTAGATGGAGAGTAATGATACTCTTTGATAAATTTAGATTCCATTGAGTATATGAATAAAGAGATAGCCACTACAGAAATGTATTGGGAAAGAAGGTAGGAAGAAAAGAAGTAATCTGTTAAGACAGTGTGATACTAGCAAACCAAGAATATGGGAGGGATTAGTGAAGAGCATTTCTCTTTTTTTCTATTTTGCAGCATTTATCGCTTATTCTCCTCTGACAGAAAGCGTGTTGAGACTGCATTGGAAGCTTGTAATCTTCCATCTGCTAGAGTAAGTATTGAACCCTTTTTCTTCATCTGATTTTAATGAGAAATGTTGGCCTCCGCTTCTCTTCCAGCCTAGCAATCCAGCCACTTTGATGTTAGTTCTAGTGTATGTCAGTTCTAGAATTTATCATGCACTGATGAGTTTATATGCTTGCCTCTAGGTGCATCGTATCGCTCAGTATTCTAACGGGATTCTGACTTGGCAAATTTGTTCTATCTGCTCTTAGCTAGCTTATTTACTGAAAGATATTGGCTGCTGTTTTAGTGAGCAGCACTGGGGTAGGCAAAAGAAAAATATGCCAGAGCCTCAACAGGGATTTTCTGGAGAAATGTATTCAGCATTTTGTCAAATTCCAACAGGGCAAGAGAATATCATGTTATACATTTCTCCCAAACAACATAAAGTTTTCAATTTGAATCTAAGGATGAAATGCTCTAGAAGTGGTTCTCAGCTGCACTTCCTCTCCTACACATTTTGGAGAGTGAAATCTTGAATCTGAAATGATGTATGTACTATCTTTCCAATTAGGTTGGTTGACAAAACTTTTTAAGGACTGTATTATAAAACACCAATTAAGTAAAAATGCAATGTGAATCTTTAGATGTAAGGTTAAACAGTAGAAACAATGATAAAAAATCTTTCTCTTGGGATGATAAAAGGACTTTGCCAGAGAAAACCTGAAGAGAAACAGAAATTGTAATAAGTGCTTAGGAAAATAAACCCTGATTACTCATAGACAAACAAGAGATGAAGAAACTCCTGCGTGGGTGAAATTGTGAGAGCCTGGTGAGCAGATTTGTGAGGATAGAGGATATGTTGCCAACTTTTGGTTTAATTAATGTGGAATTTATCTTTGTGCAAAGAAAAATATAAAGTTATTTAATTAATACCTTCAGATACATCCTGATCTGTGCTGACAGTAGACAAAAGCACTCAATATGGAAAAGAGTCTCATCAGTCTCTTTCTGCAGGCAACATTGATTCCTTTTGATGGGGAGAGACACTGAGGATTATCTGATTAGTAAACTTTCCTCCTACATGCCACAAAAATGCATGTGGGATGTTAAGAACTCTACAAAAAAAAAAAGGGGGGGGCAACAGCAAGAAAAATATTATGCAGCTTTAATAATATAAAGAGGAAAGGAAATTACCATGACAGATATATGCAAGAAGTGTTACATAAGCAAAGAGGGCTGAAAATTATGTCCTGGGAAGCAAGATAACATTCAGAAGAAATTCAGGCAGGCTCCCTCTGATTCATTGGGATAAATTTGGGGAGGAAATAAAGCACCATCAGGTTGGCAAGCTTCAGTTATTATAGCCTATCTCAATAAGATGCAGCTTTAGTCTTCCAGTAGAGTTGATTTTCTATTCTGGTCACCCACAAGCTACAGAGCTGAAATTGGACACATTTATATTAAACCAGCAAGTGGTATTCCAGATACTCTAGTTCAAGATAGCCTCTGGCTTGTTCATTCAAAATCAACATTCTGCCCATTTTTGGTGGCCAATGAAGTTATTTATCAATGGGATGTGTATTTTTCTCCCTCCTCCTTTTTTGAAAAATTCACAGGTGAAGCTTTTAGGTTATTTTTGAAAGTCAGACCAATATGAAATGCAAATATCTGGGAGGCAAATGTGGAATATTACTTGATCTTTCTACTGGCTCCTGGGAATTTTTCCAGTCACTGGGATGTTGTGGGAGAAAAGGCCCTCTCTTAAAAAAAAACAAAAAACCAGAAGTAAGAAAGTTGATAACAGTATCTTTTATATAGCCAGTTCATATTACCCTAGTAGTTGGACAAAGCAAAGAAATAAATAATGGCTCTGGTTTTTCTATCTTAGTATTTCTCTCAACACAGCAATATTTAAGTAAACCAGACCTATGTTTGGTACATTTTTGTATATTTCATCAAAACGTTTTATATTTACTTTGACATTTCAGGAGTAGCTTCCCATGAGCAAATAGTATTTACCCATCCACTCTGTAATTTTGCATCAGTTTAATTATTTTTGTTATCTCTCACGGTACTTTCTACATAACGATTTTCATCACATTTCTGATAATGTAGTGTATTACATAGTGTATTACAGCAAAATTTGTTAATGACTCTCCCTGAGTAGCAAAGAATTAACTGTTGAATGTCCTAGAGAAATAGAGTAAAAACTGTGAATCAGAAACCCATTAAAGTATATTACTGTGTGCAAAAAGCTAAACGTTATATGGATCACATCCTTTATTCACAGTGGTCTGTAATCATTGTTAACATTCAGACCTTAGAAGCAGAATGTGCATTTTTAATTTGGAGTGTGTCCCATGTCATCCTCATTTACTGACCATTCATTCAGCAACCATTTGAAATTGCAGCGGTCCTGAAAAAAACTACAGCTCATTTCCTGCCTCCACACCATACCTCAATCATGTGATTGCCATTATAGATAGTACAAGTTTGGTTACCTGACCTTCTTCTCCTCCTTCCCTCATAGAGCAGAAATTTTGGAGAGGGAGGGATTTCAAGAGAGTAATCTGTTTGCTCTTCTATACATCAAAAGCAATCTCAAACTGCCAGTCTGAGGCTGGGATCCATTGGCATACTACACAAACAGTTTACACTACTCTCTTGAAATCTTTTTCTCTCCAATCTATCTGCTCCTTAAAGTAGGTTGGGGGAAGAGAAAAAGCAAACAATTTCTATAGGCAATCTCACTTTTGCCTGACCTTTTCCTGCTGCCAATGGTTTCTCAATGTGTAGAAGAGCAAACAGCTACTCTCATGAAATCTCTGTGGTCCAGTTCTCTCTTCTAATCACTGGTTATCATCTAGTTAAGATAAACTAGGCTTGGGAGACCGGGTTCAATTGATCCCTGCCTGTTCAATTTACAGGATGAATAAAAAAAGTACAATGATTTCATCATTGATCAGAACAAAAAAGTTCAACAACAAATTGCGCAACAATAATGTAACATAATTAGCTAAAGTGGGAACATGTTTGGTGTAATTGTTAAGTTGGCCTAGAAACCAAGAAACTGTGAGTTCTAGTTCCATCTTAGGCATGTGAAAACCCGTTCAGCCCGTTCAGCCCAACTCAACTTCACATGTTTGTAGTTATGGGGAAAATAGGAGCGGGAAGAAATATTGATATGTTAATAACCATGAGTTGTATATAAAAAATGGTGGAATATAAAAATATCCTTTAAAAATCCATTAAATTTCATTCTAAAAGCTTTAAAAAATTAAAAACATATATTATATAAGATTCTAGTGACAATGCACATGAATGAAATCGGTACTCTGTTTCTGACCAGTCTTCTACACAAGGTATTTATATGGAGAAAATGAAAGACGGCAGGTGCATAAACTACTTACACTCCTGAAGAATAGTCGATATATAAATCCAAACATTCCCATCAAAAATGATGGCATATCTTAATTTTGCAATCAGATGTCTGTAGATTGAAGTATCCAGCTTCTGTTTAATAGGGGGGAAAAATAAAGATTTGTCTGAACCCAGAAAGCGGCACAAGTTTCGTACATATATCTTACTTCAGCAGAAAAAATTAAGGTGAGAAGTTTTTTTTTTTTTTTAGAATTGTTTAGGTAAATGCTCAGTTTTATTCTTCACAGCCAGGTACTGCAATTAAATTCTTCAAATGAAACGAAATAAATCATTTTAGCCATGACCAACTTTTAACACAATTCGGTGATAAGAAGTTACAGAGCTTGAGAAGAAGGTTAAAAGTTTTGAACAAATAAATAATACAAGGGGGATATACTAGCTTACAGGAGAAGACCTAATATATTTAAAACTTTTTGTAATTTTACAAAAAAAAAATACTTAACTCAAGCATAGTCCCAATTACTAAATGCTAAATGGTTGTGATAGTGAACCACTAATTTAATAGCTGCTAAGGCATAAAAATAGTTGAAAAAATCCTAGATAAATAAGGGACCATTTTTAAAGTGATTTAAGTTGCTATTGGAGATACATCATGGCTGAAAAGTTGTGCAATGCACAATGCTTATACAGTCTTTGAACAATAAATTTTTCAAAATGCATGTTCTTTTATTCTGCAGAACTCTGTCATCAAGTACCATCAAATAATGAAAGAAATCCAGTACATGTTATAAACAGTGTTGGAAAATAGTTGCAAATAAGAATGTACTTTAAAAAGATAATATTTTAAAAATCCACAGCTGATTAATAGGTTTACTGAATAAAAGTGAATCATAAAGATGCATAGTTTGAGAATTTTTTGTTAGACTTTTGAAAGGATTTTATTGGTTTGGGACATCTGTAGCCATCAATGAACTAAATGCAATCTGGTTCACTATATTTAACCCAAATATTTAAATGAATGTGTTTTTTTTTTCAGTTATTATGGGAAATAACAGAAATAAGATAACAGAAATGTGATGTACTGTTTCTCCAAAAGGAGACATGTTAGAATTCCTTTTTAAAATGCCAAATTATTATTAAAAACTGTAGTTATTAGCCATCAAAAATGAAAGTTATAGATGGGAAATACTGCATTTCTGTAAAAAAATAAACAGATTCATTTTAAATTACCCAGATTTATATGGTAAAGATTTGTGATTAACCAATAATGAGTAAAGATTTACAGTTGTCAGAAAAGATCTCTTGATTTACACTGGAATGTTTAGAGTAATTGATTTTCAATTTCAGTCACTTTCATTCAGATTGATGACCTTTTCAAACTACTTTGATAGTGGACAAAATTTGGAAAAACAATACAACAGCAGTTAATTGGCAGGAAGTATATGATAAAAATAGGAAGGGAGTTCACTATCTGGTGGCAGATAAAAACCCAAAGAGGAAATAAAACATCCATTAATAATAAATATATTTCCAGTCTAATTAGATCAGAATAGCATTTGAACCCTAGAGATATGGAAGCTGCTCAGTCTTTTTAAAAATATTTTTATTAAGATTTTTATATAAAAAAACAATAAACTGATAAAAGAAAAAAGAAAAAGAATGCAA